AGCCCATGTCCAGGGCTTTGGTGAATTCTGTGGTCACCCAAACTCCTGTTAATGCTCTTTCCTCTTTGCTGTGCATGCAGGGCCCCTGTTGGTTGTTAAGCTCAGCGCATGTACGGCATAGGGTGAACACTAGCTTACCCCCCGCAGTTCGGTGGGGCAGGACAGGAAAGTAAAGACCCCTGGGGGGGTCCACTGTGGCTCTGATTAACCCAAAATAACTGCGAGGGTCTTTGAAATCTCAGAATATGAGCTGGGGGTGTCCAAGGGGATATAGGCCTGTACAGTTTACAAAAGGGTAGAGTGAAGTGAAATCACAATAATGAACCAATTCATCTGCCGATGTCGTGTGCCTGAGCTTTACAGCACATGTCCTCCCTCCGTATAGAGCATCGCGGGGGGTCAATGGCTCTGGCGCTTTGTAATCCCTGAGGAAAGCCTGTAAATCTTGGTTGGATTTTTTCATCTCAACCCATGTATGCTCACGCATAACGATCACTTTGGCCCCGTGAATAGATTGTAGCTCATGCAGCTTTTCCTCACTAGCAGCATGGAGCTGCTCAAATGTGTCACCTGTCAAGGGGTTTTTCTCATGGCCCTTGTAGCAAGATGGACACCCGTGATAGAAGCAACCAAGAAATTCCCAGACAATCTTGCCCCCGGCTACTTCGGCGAAACCATCCACGACAAAACGTCCCACTCGTTTTTCTCCTTCGTTCAACGCATGTTGAATAAATACACCTTCTGTTTGGGCTATCCACTCTAGCCACTGAACACCTGCGTGAGAGTACGTCTTGTTTTCATAGCGATAGTCATCGGGTGGTGGAATTGCCAAGGTTTTGGGTGATAGAAAGTTGGTGGTAAAAACTTTCATACACGCAGAAGCTATGGTCGCACGACTAAAAGGATCAACTCCTGTCTCTGCGAGAAACCCTTTCCGAAATAAAGTGGCTCCCTGGGCAAGAATGTCCACATCGTTTTTACAGTAAAGCCGTGCCTGCTTTCGAAAGTCAAAAGTACCCGTGCCTACCGTCTCATACCAGGTGAAAAAGTCACTTTTTTCATCAGTTGTCATGCGTTCAATCCCATAACAGTGTGCTGGGGGGTAAGGTCCGATATAACTCAGATTAGCCTTAGAGCTGAAACTGTGTGGGAAGTATCCCTTGATTTTATCTTCAAATCCCAAAGCTTTTGGCATTGCTGCTAAACGCATAGAGAGATAAGACAGTGAGTCTATGTACTTTTGCCCGAAATCCTGGTCAGTAAAATAAATCACTTTACTTCCCTGCATTATCAAAGAGGGTTTTAATCCTTGTTCTAACATCGCATTGATAATTAGATAGCTGTCAAAACCCTTAGCATTGTGAGCGATGAAGGTTGCATTTTTGAACTTTGGGCGCCTAAAGTGTGTCAGAAACTGCAGTGCACAGTCGGTGCCCTCCGAGACCCAAATTTCACCCGCCAGGGTTTTTGTGCACACCAGGAAGGGGACATGTACACCATCTGCCCCAGCCATGGTTTCAAAATCATAAAACACAATGTTGTTATTGTGTTCTGTCTCTTTGGGCAACACTCTGATGTAACACAGATGTTTTTCACCATCGGTTGTAGAAGCAGAGGGTAATTTTTCCTTGCATGTCTTACATTTTTTCACCGCACACTTGTGTGTTTTATCTGCACTACTCTTGGGAGTGTAGTAGGAAAGTTGACAATCTACACACTTTTTGTGTAAATCGCAGATACTGGCAATGTCTGATGATCTTTGTGTCTGTTTTTTATGTCGAGAGTGACAGCCAGCCGTACGACACGTTTTGTTACAGTCTTTACAAAAGAGGGGTTTAAACTCGTCCAGAGTACATGAGGGGTCAAGACAGACATAACAATGACCCGTACAGGAATGACTCCATTGAGAGCTGTAACCTGTGTAACAATGTTCACAGACAAATGCAGAGCCTAAAAACCCCTTCAAGTTTTTAATCCCATAGTAGTGGTTTTTGAAGAGAAACAAAAACACAGTTTTGTCTCGTTTGGGACCCTCTGTCTGGAATTTACAGTGAGTACGATCTTCATCGCCTCTGAAAAATACCACAATCTTGCATTTTAAGCTGTCTTCGAATTTAACAATGTCGCTGAATGTCACAGCTGTCTGATCTGTCAAACCCACCATCCTCTGAATTTCTTTACCGCGTTCAAAACCTTCTTTATCAGTGAGGTTGTCGTGTAACAACAGTGCTAAATTAATAGCAAAACACAGCTGGTTGGACGGATTCTGTACCACGTACAGAAAAAGCCTCTTCTTTTTAACTATCTCATTGTCCAACATTTTACTAGCCAATCGTTTAGTACCGCCACGGATACCGCCACGGGGGGATTGTACAATTTGCACTACTAACTCGAGGTTACTGTCTGCCATTACCTCCAAATTTGACTGTACAGCATTGAATAGGGCCTCCTCAAAATCAGCTAGATTATCATCATTAGCATTCAAAATGGCGGACACATTAGCTTGAAGCTGCTCTCCCCGGAGTTCAATCTGAACAATATCTTCCCTCTCTGCCTGTGAAAAAGCATAATTTACCATATCCTGTACATTGTTCATCATAACCCCATAATAGGATGTAAAGTCTGCTTCGTCGTTATTAGGAGGGGGTAGGATTAGAGACTGACGCAGTTCTGTGTTATGGAATACAGGTCGAGATAAAACACTTGGTGTAGCATTTCGGTTAGTGCCTCCTCCATGCTGTGACAGGGGGCCCGGTGATTCTGCAGCATTCGGGGTGTCATTCTGATCAACATGTCCGTCAGTGGCGTGCACAGACATTTATAGGGGCAGGTGCTCAAGAGAAAAAAAAAGGGCACCTTCTGAGTCGTCGTGGCGGTCGCGCCGAAATTGTGCGCTCCGAAATTGTGCGCTCCGAAATTGTGCGCTCCGAAATTGCGCGCAAAAATTTGCCGGATAATGGCGGATAGTTTCTTTTTGGTTACTTTATTTCCCCCCCCCGGGATTGACGCCCCTGGTGGAACCGCCGGCTGCCTTAGTAGTGTGATATTTATTAAAAGGCACATCTTGTATGTCGTAATTGCATATATATTTATTTCAATAACCATATGCTGTCTGATGCAGATGCCTATCTAAAACAAATCAAATAGTAGGCTTACTAGCTTCTACACGCTAAAGCAACTGTAGTCAGGGATGCAAACTCATCAGGTATGAAAAAGGTGACAAGGATCCGAGCCCCCCGACCCCACGGAATATCGGCTTTAAAATTAGGAATAACAGAGGATTTTAGCAGTCAGAACAACTAAAGCAGCAGGTAATAATAACAAACGCCAAAGAGTTACATCTAATAGAAATATATAAAAGCATTTATTTTAATTGTGTAGCAGTCAGTTTATAATTTTGGCAGCACTGTTGAGCATTTTGAAAATGTATTTTCATGCCTCTTAGTATTTTTATAATACTTTTCTACTTTCACTTGAGGAACATTTTGAATGCAGGACTTTTACTGTAACAGAGTATTCCTACACTCTGGTACTTCTACTTTTACTCAAGTACAAGATCTGAGTACTTCTACTTTTATTAAGTACAAGATCTGAGTACTTCTACTAAAGTACAAGATCTGAGTATACTTCTACTTTTACTCTAGTAGCCTACAATCTCTATACTTATACCACCTCTGTTTATAGCCTATGAAAAAAACTATTAGAAAACGAAGGCTAAAGCTAACGTTAGCAGATTTCAGTTCACATCACGCTCTGCCGCTCTGCTCTGAACACCTGAACGGCCCGTTCTAACAGCTGTTCACCAGCGGCTCAGTCTGTGCCACAGTGACTCCGCACAGTTAACGAACACACCGTAGATAATGTAGCTGACCCTCATCCCGGAGCAGCAGAGTTCAGCCGGCCCGACAGGCAAGAAGACTCGAGCACACAGCTCGCGCTTCATATATTAAAAAATAACAGCTCGCGACCGCAGATTATTTCGGCGATTAGATCAAATGTAAATTATATTTGACGCAACTTTAGTTACATTTCCATGACTTTTCCAAAACTTTGGGAAAAATATTGTTTTCCATAACTTTTCCAGGGCCTGGAATTTCCATGACTTTTCCAGGTTTTCAATGACCGTACGAACCCTGTATAGTTTAGTTTGGCATCTGATTTAGGGGATTAAACAATACACTCGTTGTATTTGTTACCTGGTGGTTACTTACTTGGTCGTCACTAGGGCACTTTTAATCGTGTTGCTGCGTGCTGCTGCACCACACACCCGCCGTGGCCTGTCTGACTGAGTGACTGACTGTCAGCTCTGCGCGCTGCGCGTTCACGTTGAGAGCAGGGAAGGGAGGGGCTGCAGCCAGAGCACGTACGGGAGTGCCGCGGGGCACGTGTGGGGATGTCTGACACAATTACAACGCGCATTTGGGGCATTGTTGTATATATTAGAAGCTTTTAATCCAGAATTGATCGATGTTACCATGAGCCACATACAGTACACTGTAAAAAAAAAAATTTAAACTGTAAAAAACGAACTTTCAAAAGGGCACATTGCTGTCAAGAGGGCAAAACGGGCAGGTGCTCAAGCACTACCTAGAGTCTATGTGTGCACGTCTCTGATGTCCGTTACTTTGCATGGAGCAAACTAGTGATTCTGAGTCACTTTGCACGCTGGAAACTGGTGCTTCTGTAATGGTTGAAGCTATGCTATTTACGCCATTCAGATGGCTTACTCCGTCTGCGAGCTGATTTAAAAGCCCGAGACCTGGGTAAGTGTCAGCGCTTTGGTAGTATGCCAATACCCATTCCAAAGCACTATCTAAGGCTGGGGGATGGCTTGAGTTTGTTTGTGATGAGATTGGAAGTTCTTCGTCGTTTAACTCATTGATATTGTCCGAACACTGAGGAAATGACATATCTCCATACACGAATTCCTCATCACTGCTTAGTTCATTTATGTCGTTTATAGACTGAAGAAAAGAAAATTCTCTATCTGCTAAATCATCCATGTTTGACCGTTTATGAAACAAAAATCAGAAATACATTTGTCACAGCTGAAGAAACATACCGGTCGGTTACATCGGCATCAATTTACATGAGACCCTCAGTAGGTGTGTCCATAAAGATGGCAGTAGCAGCAGTGTTGGTCACCTTGATAATAGCTTGACTGATCTATACAGAAAAAAAGATAGAGAAAAAGAAGGATAAGTATTTTGAAAAACACATGATTATACATTTAACACTATTCATTTATCAAACATCTTGTAAAATAAACATAAAACTCATTTACCGGGGTGATATCTCGTCAGGAGGGGATCTGTGACGAGTGATATACCGGCTTGGATCTCTCGAATATTCTGTGCTGATGGTTCACCCTCGACCCGAGGACTAAGGGGTGAGTCTGTCTGACTCGTTAGGAGTGTGTCTTGAACGGGGTGCAACTCAAAGTCGTCCAGATAGGCACTGCAAGTGTCAAAATCGGCCTGCAGTTCTGGTGGAATTTGTAGGAAGGTTTCAGATATAGGCTGCTGCTGCTGCTGCTGCGGGGTAGTGTTGAAAAGGGGGCTGTCTGTCTGGTTATCTGAGTCCCGGGGGAGGGCGACGGCTGGCCCCCAGGGGTCTGCGGTTACCTCAAAGGGTGGGTTGTGTATGAACTCCTCGGGGAAAAAGTTTTGATACACAGAGCCTCTGTCTGTGCTATAGACTTCGTCACCTTTAAAAACAAAAGAGTAAAAAACCGTTATTCGGGATACTGCACATAAAAACCTTATTTGATTTCAAAATAAAAATACAATCAGTTTAAATATACTCACTTTCCACAGGGGGTGAATTAAGGTAGGCTCCAAGTACAGAGCATATTAATTCCAATACTATTTGTTGTGGAATATTTTCCAAGGCCCATAACTTTGACCCAGTGTATCAGTTCAAACTGTCCTGACTGAGCACAGGCACCTGTAACCTTGGCTGCTGTGCTCTCAGTGTTCTGTCTCCCTGTTCCTGCCTGTTGGCGTCAGCTGATAGAGGTGTTATCATTCTATCTTGTTATGCAGCATGTTGATGATGCTCTCTGAACTAGCTAAATACATGGGTCTGGGATAGAGTTCTTCAGGATTGACGTGGCAACTCTACCGTGAAGTCAGAACCTCTGACTCTTGGACTTGTGATGTGAATCCTCCGGCCGTTAACTCCAAATAAACCATCATGTGTTTGACATCAAAGCTACTGCTCCTACCGTGTCTCCTTCCTGAGTCGGTGACTCCCAATGCATAGCTACACAGACGTTTCCTCTACACTATTGGCCTTAGCTGACTCAGAGTATCCTGAGCTGAGAGACACAGAAAGATTTGATTATAATCCACACCATATTGCTCTATACTTTTCTAATTAAAAACATGTTTAAAAAGAAGTAAAAAGAAACTCACCTAGTATTTCAATAACCCCATGACCCAGCCACACATTAGGATTTCCAGCACACAGGATCTCTACTGCAAACAGAAGGACATAATGTTTTTAAGTATCTAATAATATATATATATATATATATATATATAAAAACAACATTTAATAAATACATGATATTATAAAATAAGTACTTACCACATTGGCTTGTGATGGCGTCCAGGTCAATAAAGCGCTGAGCTGGAATGGCAGGGTAATTCATCCCTTGTTTTTCTCTAACTGTAAATATTTTGTCGTCTTATATAGACCATCAAATAACAGAGCCTTGTCACCCTCAAAAAGAAACTGACCAATCGATGAGTCCTTTTATCCAGGTAATTAGCTATGCGTCTTTCTGCCCCCCCAGAAATGACTATTTAAATTTACCCTCAGACTGTTGATGGAGTATTTTAAGTGTTTACAGCCTTTATTTTGTTCTGATCAGCCACCCTGGAGCCGTCATGGAGTGAATAGGAAACACATTTAGAAAACTTCTCTTTTATGGATACAGCAGAGTTCTGATATTACCACCTCATATTGGGTTTCCTTACAGTGGTGTAAAATAATGATTAAAAAGACAATATCATGTTTTTAATTTGTTTTATTATTTCCGTCTTCAGAGAGACTTTTCTTATAGTTAATAAAGGTAATTACACATTAGTTCACAAATCCATATACTAAAAGAGAATATCCTTAGGTATCACTATTAAAAAACTAAATAAGATCTTTTGAAAATAACCTCTTTGCTAAACAGATACTTCTTTAACAGTTTCACAAAAACTTGAAAAGAAAACATCCTTAGCCAGCACACACCATTTAAAACAAACCCTGAATCAAATCTAGAGAGGATAATAACGTTTTAGATGTCTTGGTGAGTGAAAATTAATGGCTGTTTTTATTTAATTTGAGTTTATTTCTTTTTTTTAAAACTAACTTCATTTCTCTCTTCTCCTCTTCTCCACAGAGTGTCTTAATAAACATATGCATTTACACCCAGGCTATCTCAACCCCCCACATCTGGTTGTGTGTGTGTGTGTGTTTGTGTATGTGTGTGTGTGTGTGTGTGTGTGTGTGTGTGTGTGTGTGTGTGTGTGTGTGTGTGTGTGTGTGTGTGTGTGTGTGTGTGTGTGTGTGTGTGTGTGTGTGTGTGTGTGTGTGTGTGTGTGTGTGTTGTGTGTGTGTGTGTGTATGAATTGTTCTTTAAGGTAGGGGTTAGATAATTTGGAGAATTTGCAGTCAAACCAGGGAAAATCTGTCACTTCCTCACAGAGCCCCTCCTCCAACACACATGAACGCGCATGACCAAAAGAGGGCGCGAGATAAGTTTGTGCACAGAGACCCCCGCATTGCTGCTGATGCATTCGTTTGACTGACGCTCCGGACGGATGCGGTAAGCTGACTGGTTAACCCCCATTCGAGGCGTCTCTTGGCCATTTTTCTTTTTTGAAAAGGTGGGTAAATGGAATTGCTGTCTTTTTAATTAGTTTGCGCATATTTCTAATTCCACCCCCCCACTATCTGCCTGCGTCATAGCCCGGAAGGGGGGAGAGGCTAGGAGGGGGCTGGTAGACAGTCTCACCTAACTTCAAGAGACACCTAAATTAACATCAGAGGCTTGCAACACACCGGTGTGAAGTCACACATACCTGCTATAACACCTCATAGATTAGACTTCATAATTATACAACTCTGAGGGGGCAGGGGGCCAGACAGCATAAAGAGACTTAATCAACACCTAAATTAACATCAGAGGCTTATAACACACCAGTGTGAAGTCACACATACCTGCTATAACACCTCATAGATTAGACTTCATAATTAGATTATACAACTCTGAGGGGACAGGGGGCAGACAACACAAAGAGACTTAATCAACACATCAAAGAATTAGACAACAAAAGCGCTAGCCCCGGGCTTTTCACATGACACAAAAGGATCTCTAACAAAGGCACTACACAGGAGGGCATTTCACACCTACGTGTGATGTACCTCACCCCTAACATCAAAGGATGTCACACCTACTTGTGAATTCACACGTAGGTGGGACATCCACCACGAACAAAGGGAGGCGGGACTTAGCTCATTAACATAAGTAGGGAGAGGTGTGACCTGTCACACCACCTGTCACTTTTTTGATTGAAACAGCATGTGTATAACTACTACCGTTTATTATTAAAACAGATTATTGTTTAACCCTCGTCCTGGTTGTTTTGAGTTTTCCTTCTTTTAAAGCAAACTCATATAGGATCGGCGCGGAGCAGAGATATCTACTCCAACACTGTGTACTCTCATGTTCCGATTAACCCAGCTTCCCCAAAATCTCTTTCTTTGTGTCCATATATACGCCGGGATCCTGAGTCGAGGCTAATCCTGTTGCTGCGGTCCTGCGTCCTGGATCCTCTATCCTGAGTCCTGGACTTCAAGTCGTGGCTGAACCTGTCTCTGCGGTCCTGCCTGACTCTCGTCATACTACTTCCCTGATGGCTCCCACAGGATTGTTGACATCCTCGTGGATTCATCTTCTTATTATACACACATGCATTTCCAAACATTTGGTCTACCTATGTTGTAAATGTATTATCTTTTCGATTTACACACGGCATCTATTGCACGTCTGTCCGTCCTGGGAGAGGGATCCGTCCTCTGTTGCTCTCCCTGAGGTTTCTCCCATGTTCCCCTTAAACTGTGGGTTTTCTCCGGAAGTTTTTCCTTGTACGATGTGAGGGTCTAAGGACAGAGGGTGTCGTATTGTCATACTGATATTCTGTACAAACTGTGAAGTCCACTGAGACAAATGTAACATTTGTGATATTGGGCTATATAAATAAACATTGATTGATTGAATGATTATAGTGTAAATATAACCTATCTACCAATTGGATCAAATATAAAAGTCAGCCGAATTAGTGTTGATACTGCAAGGAGACGTATTGTGTGAAAAGAAATGGAAGATGTTGTTTAATAGCTGATATATTTATGATCCACGTCACGTATTCAGTTTTGGCGGCATTTCTTACAGTTTTTCAAAAGGTCTTCTGATCAGGGCTCTATAAATAAAGAACTACGGCAGATATATAATATTTAATGCAGCCGAACCGTGTATTACAATGCCGTTATGTGATGACTTCCAAAGAGAAAAGAAAGAACACTCGGAATAAAGTATTATTTTATTTAAAAAAAATGTTTTTCCGATTTCATATCATATAAACACCATATCCCGAAATGCATCGCGGCACAGATCAAAACCTCTGAAAAAAGAAAGGTGTCTCTCAGAATCGAAAGAGAAAAGGGAAAAACCCAAAAGCATTGTTCACAATTTAAACCAATACATGTCGTATAATTAACAAGGATAAACTGATGTTTTTTAGTTGATGAGTTCTGCAGATATCACTGTTAAATCATTTGATCATTGGTTTTATTATGAAAACGTCAAGACCGGAAATACTGTTTTCACCCCGTAACTTTACATGGAGGCTGCCGCATATCTCAAATCATCTTCGTAATATCTATCAAACTATAGATCCTACATATCGACTGGACGTGGATTCTAAAAGTACAATATATACTTCTCGCTAGAAATCTAATCAAAAAGCGTTTTAATGGCCAAACTATCCTACAATTTAGGATTTTACAGAGAGGGTTATTTGTGAATAAACGACCATCTGTAACGTTAGCATTCAACGGGAGCACTAGAGGGCGAAAACTTTAAAACGTAATTATAGGATGTATTAAGCGCTTGAACAAACGGCATATTTGGTCGTAATAAGGGCTTAAACAATCGGCCCATTTGGTCGTATGAGTTGGAGGACTTGTTGCGATATGTCTACTCCAAGAGGCTGAGACATAAAGTACAGCAAAGACTGATGACCCTTAAAATAAGGGAAAATAAACTGAACAATTATTAAGAATTAAATACCAACACATAGAACACACCATTTTTATTTTTCATAGCTCCTTTATTATTTATTGTAAATTGTTTTTGTTTCATACTAAAGCGAATTAGGGGCCGGTGTGTAGGAGCCATTTGATGGGTGTTGTTGGTGTCTCTGTTTACTTTATTTATATTTATAGTGCAATACTATTTTGAACACTAACGGAGCGTCCACACAGCAGCGTGCGTTGACGCTTGGAGGTGGGCGTATCTGAAGCTTGGGGATTTTTTGCGAGCAACGCGACCAACAACCAATCACATGAATCTCCCGCCCCCGACATACAAAGCAATAGCAATGTTAAAACGAAGTAAACTGGATATAAAATCCCCAAACAGGCGAAAACCTACCAGTTTCACCCACTGTCTCTGCCACCTCCCTCCATGCCTCGCTCCTCCGGTTTGTATCCCGGTAGATGAACAGAGACTGATCATACAGCACCGGGTGATTCACTACCGCTATAATGAATTTTCCCTCCATTTTTTGGAATATTACATTACATGACATTGCATTTAGCTGACGCTTTTATCCAAAGCGACTTACAATAAGTACATTCGACCAGGAGGAAATGACCTGCGTAGTCTCTCCCAGCATACACGCGGTTTGATTGGCTAGCGCTTGTACTGGCAGATTTGCATAAACGGGATTTCATTGGCTGACGCCTCCATCGAGGCGTCAAAAGTTGAACATTGCTCAACTTTTGAAGCCAGCAACGCCAG